TCTGTCTGGCGAGCGCACACGCCCTATAGCAAAAACCTTTCCAAAAAAAGAAAGATAATAGCAAGAGGGTCCAGACAGTGGTGCAGGGGTAGTATGTGATAACTCCGCAAGGCCAACCCTTACGGGGAAGTTCCAGGTACATCTGTAGACCTCCCTGAGCACATACGTGTTAGGCACACACGGGCCCAAGATCTGGGACTGGGTCGTGGCTTTCAGACCTTACTGCAGGTGCTATCTCTCTGGCTTTTTTGTTCATGAAAGAAATAAATAGGTAAACGTTAAGAAAAGATAGTTTGACTAGAAACTCTTATCTGCCTCTCGCTAAGCACCGAGCCCTGATCTAATCACCTCCCAGGCAGTAACTGCTCTCAGGTTCATGGCAGCCCTGCGAGGTAGGGGCCGCTGTTGTCCCCCATTTACAGACCAGAGCACTGAGGGAGACCAGCCTGAGTCCCACAACTGCTTGGAGCTGAGATGTGAAGCCAGGCAGCCCGGCTAAGTCTGTGCCGTGAGTTAGTACCCAGCACCTTGAGTACGGGTGGGCTAGGTTTTGTGAGCATGGATCTGGGGGATTCCAGGTGGATGTGAGCCCAGAGCTGGGGACTGGCTGTCGCAGAGGCAGGGCAGGGGGATTGGAACTGAGACCACTGCCTTTGGAGGGTGGGGACAGGCACAGCACAGGGTGAAAGGCAGTTTTTTGAGACAACTACATTTAGAAATGGGAGAAGTCAGGGGCTGGCAGGTGGCATGGTGGTGGTTAAGGCATTGGACTCCCACATGACTGGTTGTGGTTCGAGGCCTAGACCTGGAGGCTTACTTTCTCCGTTTCCCTCTTTCTTTCTCTCTCTCTGTTGAGAAAATAATAGTAATAATAAACAAAATTAAATAATTCTATAAAAAAGGAGAGAAATGGGAAGAGTTGGCTAGCCAGTGGTGTGGTGAAGGCAGCTGGGTCTCACATGGCCAAATGCATGGTTTGAGCCCCAAACCCAGTGGCTTGCAAAAACACATCTAGGGCCCCCTAGTTAGAAACCTCTAAGATAGCACGTGTGGGTGCGTACCCGAAGTCCCGAATGGAGAAGAAGGGATTGCAGTGTGGCCATCCCCCATGGGGTGTTTTCTTGCTTTCCCTCTCTCTTTCTCTCTGGCAAGTACATATTCCCTCTGGCAAATTAAAGGGGAAAAAAAGCAAAGAACAAGATAAACTAACAAGATGAGAGGCAGGACAAGCCCTGGAAGAGAACAGAGTAGGACCACGTTGGAAGAACGGATGGCGTGGGTCACCGGCCACATCAGGTGTCATCGAGATGCCATGAGGGCATGACAGGGAGGGTCGGCCTCCTGTACTGCCAGTTCTCCGTCGTGTTCCGAATGCGAGGGTCCAGGCACAGGAATTAGGGAGCCAGCAGAGAGGGAAGAGCCCACCTTCCCGGTTTACCCCCCGGCGTGGCGCATGTCACCTCCCGTCTGTGGGCCTCGTGCTTCTCCACTGGGAGGTGGAAGCCGTAGCAGTGCGGCTCTCCCCGGGTCGGTGAGAGACTGAGCGAGGTGCCCGGGCACAGGCGTGCAGTGGCCATGCTCACACGTGGGCCGCATCAGCTGCGCTCGGGCTCCTTTTGTCGCTCCCGTTCCTGGAACTGCCTCACTGGGTCAGGAGCCTTCTGGGGGACCTCCCTGGGCCACGCTGCCAGCTCCCTGCAGTGGCATCTCGGGCAGGTCTCAGGACCTTCTAACCTTTGTCTTTCTCACCCGCAAGGTGGGGAAGATACAGCCTCCCTGCAGGGCCTCGGGGTTAGTTAGACAGGCTGCACACCCCCAGCTGGTGACCGGGCCGCTGTGACCGTCCCCCATTTCTGGAGAAGCACCAGCGCTCTTGCGTCTGGGTCCTGGTTGTCTCACCCCAGTGGTGAAGGGTCCAGAAACCTGTTTCTCAGGTCTCTCTTGCTTGTCAAGGCAGACCCGCTCCCGGAGCACCTCAGGGCTAGTGTGCGCTTAGAGCACGGGGTTTCAGGAATTCCCTGCAGACCGACTTAGGACTCAGCCACACACGCCGCGTCCTGGTCCTAAGAATGTGCCCGGCCGTGGCACGTGGGTCACACTGGGTGGAGCTCAGCTGGCTTCCTGTCGACCTCATCATTCCTGAGGGTTCACCTCTTTGGAATCTGGCTTCTGTTAGTTATTTGAGTCTCAAAAAATAAGATAATGGGACCAGCAAGTGACGTAATGGTTACATTGGTGGACTCTCGCATGACTGACCACAGTTCGACTCCCGGACCCAGCAGCTTGAAACTCACACTGAGTGCATGTGCATGCATGCGTGCCCAAAGTCCCGGGGGGAGAATAGAGGAGAAGGGATTGTGGCGTGGTCATCCCCCCCAGGGGATGGGGATTTTGTCTCTCTGGTGAGCACATGGGCCCTGTAGCAAAAATAATTTTAAAAAATAGGATTAGGGGCCAGCTAGTGGCATAATGGTTATGTCTTTGGACTCTCACGTAGTCAGCCACAGTTCAAGTCCTGGACTCAGCTGCTTAAAACTCACGTTGAGTGTGTGTGCATGCATGCCCAAGATCCTGAGAGGAGAATGGAGAAGGGATTGTGGCATGGCCATCCCACCTGGGGGGTGAGTCCTTATTTTATTTTATTTTATTTTATTTTATTTTATTTTATTTTATTGAGAGGTTTTTGCTATAGGGTGCGTGAGCTCACCAGAGAGAGAGAGAGAGATTCAGAGAGACCAAAAGTGAGAAATCACTCCCAGAGAGGATGGCCACGCCACAATCCCTTCTCTTCCATTCTCCTCTGGGGATCCTGGGCACGCACGCACATGTACCCGGCGTGAGTTTAAGCCACCGGGTCCGGGACTCGAACTGTAGTCAACTATATGGGAGTCCAGCGACATAGCCATTACGCTAACTGCTGGTCCCCTGGGGAGTGAGTTCTTACTTTCTATCTCTCTGTCTCTGTCTCTCTGGTGAGCACACACAACCTATAGCAAAAAATCTCTCAAACAAAAAAATAGGATTATAACAGACACGCAGTAAAAGTGACTATATTTATTTATCTCTGGGTAGAAGACAGTCGTGTGTACACACTATCCCCTGAGTAGCGGGGGGGTCACAATAGGAAGGACAGGTGACATATATCTTTGGAAGGTTGGGCATGGAAGAATTAAGCCCTACCACTCAGAGCACCCCTCGTGTGCATCAAGGTTGCTTTTCCCCTGGGCATCGGACATAGTGCTAGTCGTGCGGCCCCCTCAGGGGAAGTGAAGACGAGTCACGTGACTCCCTCCTGTGTAAGGAGGGGTGCTGCCAGGGGACACGACGCATGGCCCAGGCTTGCTGTGGGGGAGGCAGGACCAGGTGCATCGACTGCTGAGACCATGCCGGTCGTCGCTGACCTGCTGCGGTTAGTGGCTTCTGTGCCCGTCCCACCCCGAACCCATCCCGGCCAGCTTCTCGGTTGTCCGTTCCTTCTCTCAGTGAGTCTGAGGTTCAGGTTGCTCGCATAAACCATGGAAGTCACGATGTCCAACGTCTCTGCCCTCGTCGGAGCGGGCCCAGAATGACAGGGTGCCCGGGACACTGCAGACGCCCAGGCTCCACCCCTACGACCGGAGCGGGTTGGCTACTCTCCCCATGAAGAGCAGGCAGCTGGTGCGGTGCTCGTAGACGAGGATCAGGAAGGGGCGGTCGACTGAGAAACGGACCTGCGTGGTCAGCGGCATGAACCCCACCGTGGTCACGGCCGCGGCTTGGGTGCCCTCCTCGTTCACCGTGATGGTGCCTTGGTGCTTGAACTGTTTCGAACCACAAAGGAGAGCTGTCAGGCTCTGGAAGCGGCGCACGGGATCGCGTCCCTAGCGCAGCCTCCCCTCATTCAGGGAAACGCCCACGGACCCCGTGCAGGGCACACGCCCAGCTGGTCAGAATCACCCCCGAGCAGACCTTTCCTCGTCTGTCAGGTGTGGGAGCTGTGCCTGGGGCCGTGTCTAGAACAAAATGCTTTCCTTGCAAGTCCAGAGCCACATCCACTCAGCCGTGCCCACAGCCCCAGGGGCCAAGGCTGCTGCTCCAGCCCCCACCCCTTCCTCGCACTTGGGGTGCATGCTCACGAGGGTGGCAGCTGGACCTGCTACATCCTATGGACTGGGAGCTCTAGTCTGTGGCCGAGTGCCTGTTCCCGGTTTGCTAAGTGACATGTACGTGTGTAATGATCTGTCACTCTCTGGCTGGCGTGACTGCTTCACACACTAGACCCCACATATCCCTTCGCTCTGGTGTAAGCAGGACCAGGGCTGCTCCGAGGCTGTGCCAGAC